TTGGTTGTCTAAGTGAGACAGATAGCAGTTAGTCTAATTTGACAGACGGCGAGCAACCAAGGTTTGATGTCATTTTGCAGTGCCGGATTTCCCCTGAGACAGCAAAAGGCTAATGCCCTGTTACCGAGCTCATTTGTCAACAGCAATCCAGTAGACAGTGGCTTGTCTATTCTCTGCCACCCCGATCCCTAAATCCTCCTTTTCTCTCTGCCAATTTTGGAGTTGGATACTAACAACTGTCAGGCGGTGGTTTGGCGACACCTAATTGATTGAGATTAAAGTCTGTGTGTGTGTGTTTCAGTGACAGATGAGAGAGCATCTCATGCCTTCTACTCACTCTGGATGTGTGACATTTTAAAGGACAAAAACAAACAAACAAACAAACATGACTTTATAGGTACCGTGTTCTGTCTGCTCACTTATTTATTCTTATCTTCCTGTCCATTGTATCACTTTTTAGCACTTTCTCCCCTTTTCTCTGTCTTAATTCTTTTTTTATTTAGTTCAGTGAGAGTTATATTGACCCAGGTGTCTACCTAGGCCTGAAGCAGAAGGCCAACATTTGCCCGTGTAATGTGTGGTTGTATTCCCCTTTATTTGTAACAACAATTTGGAGCTAAACATGCATACTGTATCTCCTCTCAGTCTCTCTCTCTCTGATGATTTATATGCACGTGGTTGGTGGCATTTGAAGCTGGCTGGGTATGACAAGGACTAAATGGCAGCAAGTCCAGGCCATTAGTATGTGTCTTGCTGGGTGCTTCTGACATATCATGCCCTGTCTGTGGCCCTGCCTTTGAGTCTGGACTTTCAGTCTATTCTATTATATATATCCATAAATTAGACTACAGGAGTTGCCCAACAAAGTTTAAATCAATCATCTGACCTGGGTGCTAAGTGGTAGAATTTCCATTTGAATTAATGTTTTTTAGTTCTGACGTCAAGTCTCAAGGGTGGGTAAGAACTGATACTGACCGGAAACAAACTGGGAGTAATTGGGAGCTTGCACCATCACGCAGAAACTGCATCAACAGACATCAAGGGCAAAGACAAAAGCACATCAAACAGGCTTTGAAAACCTGTGGCCACTGACCTGGCCTTCATTAAAACACATGCCATTTTGTCTACTGCTTGGACATAGGCCTACGAGCAGAGCATAAAACCTTACCGCATGGCTCACACGGGCAGTGTGGTTGCTCTCACCTGTCAACATTAGCGCCTTGATAAAACGCAAGACATTCCGTGACACACACACACACACACTGCTCACGCATGCTATGTGGTTTTAGCCTTTTATCATGATATCATGTATTCAGAAATAGCGTGCATATAGATACAGTTCTGCTAGCGATAGTCCAGAAAAACATCACTTAGAAATGAGAAGCCTACTTTTGTGTTTACATCTGTGTAAATTCAACACACCTGGTGTTTTCACTGAGATTACTCAGAGACTTAGAGTGGTAGATCTGCCCCGCTATCATTGTAAAGTGTAGCACGCACGAACAGAAAGCTTGTCAGGTGTAGCAACAGTAACTGATGTGGGGTTGGGCTTAGCAAATGGTCAATTATCAAGTGAATCGTGTATGATTTGGTTTTATAGAGAAAATTGAATTACTGTGAACCATGTAAATGCATTAACTGAACTATAACCTTAATGTGGTTATTCACCATCATCAACTTAAGTGTGCATGAACAGGCAGAGTATGTCAATGTGTGTGGAGACGGGTGAAACAGAGAGTAAAATGAAAAAGGGAAAATAAATTGAGAGATCATAAGAAAGAAATAAAAGACAAAAAGAGAGAAACTCCACGAGGGAGGCAAAGGTGAAGAGATAGAGATAAAAAAGACAGGCAGAGAAAGGGAGATAGACAAAGAGGAAATAAAAAGGAGGGAAAAGAAAGACAGCCTGAGAAAGGATGAGACATAGGGTGAGAAAAAGAGAGACATTGAGACACAGACACATCCTGAGTAAAAGACAGAAACAGAGACAGAAAGGAGGAGAAAGACAAGAAGGGAGAGGAGTGAGAGATAGAGGAGAGGTGACTGGGAGAAAAGACAGAGAGAAGAGAAAGAAAGCGGAAGAGAACATATTACTCGTGGCAGACTCTGTCATGGAGTTAATGGGGTTTTGCCACTTCCTATCATTCCAGTGCCTTTTGAACCGTGGCCTTTGCATACAGAAAGATCATTAACTCTCAGCTCTGCCTCCTCCAGGGCCCTTCGTCTCCTCTTCGTCTGCAGGACGACTTGTCAGCAAGAGCCTGGTGCCTGCCTCCCTGCTTCCATTTGCGCCACATTCTTGATGTTACGACACACCCTTATTAGCAGCCCAAATCACAAATTGGGGCTATAACACAGAAGAGAGCCCCATTCTCTCTAATTAAGTTATGGTAGATTCCCTCTCATTGGAACTCCACTCTTCTTGTAGGAAATAGAACCAGCGTAGTGGCATGTAGCGGTGTAGTTGCAGATTGCAACTCCGTCGCTTCCCCCTCTCTATCCAAGCGTGAAGTAGAAGCTATGGTGGCCATGAAACGTGCAAAAAACACAAACCTCCCTATCTAGAGCCAGTTACCATAGGTTACCATAGGAACATGGCGGTTCAACATGGCGGACTCCATGGAAGGCAACCTGCAGCGTCTGCAGATATAAACAGCTCATGCTAAGGTTACAGAAACATAACGATTCCTATGTTCAGTTCATTATACATTACTGAAAACATACCTAAGAATATTATATTCCATTCCTGCCAATAGAGCCTCCTAAATGTTACACACTGGAGTGTTAAGCCAAGAGTGGAAAAGTGATATAAAAAAATGCTTTTAAATGCAACTAGCACTCGATCCAGAACCTGACCTAATGTGATTGGATATCTAACCTCAGTTTGCATGTGAAAGTCCATTTACGTCATTACTGCCTTTATTTGCCAAAGTGACAAGCATCTGGTGGAGGCAATGCTAACACCGTACTTACGACAAGAGTTTGCACATTGTCCGGAGCAGTGTTAGTGAGTGAGAAAAATGTGACAATAACAAGGTTGATTTTGCCCTTTTGGTTTTTTACTCAACACCTGATTTAAAGCTTGAAATGGAGCTATGAGGACTAACTTGCTGTGGGTTTGGTTATCCTGCTAATTTTAGTGAATGGATTCTTGGGAGGATATCTTTAAGCAGTATT